GTCCTGAGGATTCTGACACTATTTCTCTATGTCTCTTTATGTACATACTTGAGCTTTTTTCTGGGACTGCAAGTGTTAGAGGATAGAAAACACTGCTGAATATTTCAAGCTTTAATAACAACATTACATGTAAACAAACATACAGCTCTTTTGTATTGACTTATGTGACAATAATTCTGCCTCCAGATGGAAAACTTCCTTAAATAAGATGGAAACTTATCACCCAGGGGGGATGAATTTCTTTTTTGTGGTCTTCCCTGAGATTACGATGGAACACGTGGAGTTTGCCTATAAAGTTAGTGGGTCCCTAGAGAGGTACACAGCAATTGAAGGAACAACGAAGGGGAAAGGTCATCCAGATGGATCTCTTGATCCTTTGTGTTGTAACTGTGTCTCAGATCACACCTCCCCACCATCACCAGCCCACCGCCTCTTTTGTCTTATTTCCATTGCAAACATCCCTTTCAGCCATGGCTGCTGAAAGGAGTAGCTGCTTTAAGGACCCTGTTATGTGTTTATACTCAGCAAAGTCTGAAAACAAAATGTTGTTTTAAATAAATAAAAATGTGAAAATTAGTACATATTATAATTATATGCAGAATTCATCCAGATGTGTGCCTTAAGTCATTTACACAGATATGCGGTCAGACATTACTCCCAGCATCTCAAGCCAATCATAATTATATATACACACACACACTTGTTTGTACAGACCCAAAATACATATCAACTCAAGAAGGGTAATTGGAGAAAAGCAAGGAAATTGAATATGAAGGCCTGGGACATATTTTTATTTTTACTTGAACTGTTTCTACTGCATAAGGGGAAGTTTGCTTATTTCTGCTATTAATGAGGCAAAGTCTGCAAAAGACATACTGTACTTGTTTATCTGGTGTCCCCATTGCTCCCAGCCTCTGCCTCCTGGTTGAATTAAGATTGGACAAATGGCTAAATCTAATGTGAGGCCTTCCCACAGTAGCAGTGGAATGGATGTGTAGCACCTGTTGTGATACAAAGCCTCATCTGCTGCAAATCCAATACTTTGCCCAGATTATTTTGTTGTACACTGTCTGGTTTCATTATATTAGCTAGTATCAACTATCATATCAACCTCTCCTGGTCCAAACCTCTCACCATGACTGACAAAAATGTCATTCATTCCTAATCTGTTCACAAGCAGAATGGATCTTGTTCTATCTCAGTAAAGTATGTTGAGTGGGAAGTTATGATTATGGAAATATAGTTTGTCCACCATATCTGTGGAACCAATATATGTAGTTTCAGTTATTCACTTACAGCTTCCTGTACAAGCTACACACTTTTCTCAATATTGCAGATGTTCATTTCATTAAAAATATGAGAGTTCACTAATATCTATATTTCTCATTCCCACGTGAAGTCTGGGAACATATCTCCCATGGATACAGGGATTTTACTGTTGTGCTACAATTGTGATTAAGTAATGTTTATGGAAAAAGAGATCAGGGAAAATACACAGATTTGAAGGACTAGATTTAGTAAACAGAGTCCCAGAAGAACTATGGACAGAAGTCCGAGACATTGTTCAGGAGGCGGCAACAAAGTGCGTCCCAAAGAAAAAGAAAACCAAGAAGGCAAAATGGTTGTCTGCTGAGACACTGGAAGTAGCCCAAGAAAGGGGGAAAGCAAAAGGAAACAGGGATAAGGGGAGATATGCCCAGTTAAATGCGCAATTCCAGAGGTTAGCCAGAAGAGATAAGGAACTATTTTAAATAAGCAATGTATGGAAGTGGAAGAAGACAACAGAATAGGAAGGACAAGAGACCTCTTCCAGAAAATTAGAAACATTGGAGGTAAATTTCAGGCAAAAATTGGTATGATAAGAAACAAAGATGGCAGGGACATAACAGAAGCTGAAGAGATCAAGAGAAGGTGGCGAGACTATACAGAAGATCTGTATAGGAAGGATAATAATATTGAGGATAGTTTTGACGGTGTGGTGAATGAATTAGAACCAGACATCCTGAGGAGTGAGGTTGAATGGGCCTTAAGAAGCATTGCTAACAACAAAGCAGCAGGAGACGACGGGATCCCAGCTGAACTGTTTAAAATCTTAAAAGATGATGCTGTCAAGGTGATGCATGCCATTTGCCAGCAAATATGGAAAACACAAGAATGGCCATCAGACTGGAAAAAATCAACTTATATCCCCATACCAAAAAAGGGAAATGCGAAAGACTGCTCAAACTTCCGTACAGTGGCCCTTATTTCTCATGCCAGTAAGGTAATGCTCAAGATCCTGCAAGGAAGACTCCAGCAATACATGGAGCGAGAGTTGCCAGATGTTCAAGCTGGGACGAGAGACCAGATTGCCAATATCCTGGATAATGGAGAAAGGCATCTACTTCTGCTTCATTGACTATTCTGCTTCATTGACTATTCTAAAGCCTTTGACTGTGTGGATCATAATAAATTGTGGCAAGTTCTTGGGGATGGGCATACCAAGCCACCTTGTCTCTCTCCTGAGGAATCTGTACAAGGACCAAGTAGCAACAGTCAGAACTGACCACGGAACAACAGACTGGTTCAAGATTGGGAAAGGCGTACGGCAAGGCTGCATCCTCTCACCCAACCTTTTTAACTTGTATGCAGGACACATCATGCGATGTGAGGGGCTTGATGAATGCAAAGCTGGGGTGAAAATTGCTGGAAGAAACATTAACAACCTCAGATATGCAGATGACACCACTCTGATGGCCGAAAGCGAGGAGGAGCTGAGGAGCCTTCTAATCAAGGTGAAAGAAGAAAGCGCAAAAGCCGGGTTGCAGCTAAACGCCAAAAAAACCAAGATTATGGCAACAAGAATGATTGACAACTGGAAAATAGAGGGAGAAACCGTGGAGGCCGTGACAGACTTTGTATTTCTAGGGGCAAAGATTACTGCAGATGCAGACTTTAGCCAGGAAATCAGAAGACGCTTACTTCTTGGGAGGAGAGCAATGTCCAGTCTCGATAAAATAGTGAAGAGTAGAGACATCAGACTGACAACAAAGATCCGCCTAGGCAAAGCCATGGTATTCCCTGTAGTCACCTACGGATGTGAGAGCTGGACCTTAGGGAAGGCTGAGCGAAGGAAGATCGATGCTTTTGAACTGTGGTGTTGGAGGAACGTGCTGAGAGTGCCTTGGACTGCGAGAAGATCCAACCAGTCCATCCTCCAGGAAATAAAGCCCGACTGCTCACTGGAGGGAAAGATACTAGAGACAAAGTTGAAGTACTTTGGCCACATCATGAGGAGACAGGAAAGCCTGGAGAAGACAATTATGCTGGGGAAAGTGGAAGGCAAAAGGAAGAGGGGCCGACCAAGGGCAAGATGGATGGATGGCATCCTTGAAGTGACTGGACTGACCTTGAGGGAGCTGGGGGTGGTGACGGCCGACAGGGAGCTCTGGCGTGGGCTGGTCCATGAGGTCACGAAGAGTCGGAGACGACTGAACGAATGAACAACAAATGGAAAAAGAACAGTTCCAGATGAGGTAGATGTTCCATATTCACAATTGCTACATAATTGTCAAACTATTGTCATAACTGTGATTCCCATTCCAATCTACTTTATTGAGCATCAGCTACATGGGCGGTGAAGGGAACTTTAGTGAATGGCATAACCATCAAATCTCTGAGGGTCAGGCCAGGAGAATTTACTATGTTAAATATACGTACTTAACAAAATAACTGGTATAGCCCATGATTTTCATCAGGGATAGTAAGTGAAAAACCAGGTTCAATGGCTGGTATCCTGTTGGTTAGTCCCAACAAGAGCATGTAGATTTACTCATTTGATTCATGGCTCTATCTAATTGGAACTAACAAGACAAGTAGGCCAATGTTATATGAGAAATTGACAATTAAATTATTGGGCTTTTAAATGAATGGATAGCACCTATGGAGAGTTTGCTCAGGTATAGACTGTGAGGTGGGGTGAAAGAATGTTTTTGAGCACTGCTATAATCCTGGTGTCTGGTATTTGTATAAGAGAAATTTACATCTAGTAGAGGCAAATACTGATTATCAGTGAATATGGTCCAGGTTTTTGTATAAATTTTAAAAGACCCATGAAGGTGCTGAACCTATTTGTGGAGGTTATGTGAAGTCCAGACTGAAAACCAGAGTAGATTCACCATCCCACTGATATTGGGGCTATAAGCTAGGAAGTGACTTTCAGCCCTAATTCAGCTTCTCTCTTACCATAAAGTGCCGATTCTTTTACAACAGAGATGGAGAGCATCTGGTTTTCCAGATGCTGTTGTGCTGCAAGTTCTGTTATTACTTACTGCTGGGAACTGTAAGTCAGCAACATGTGATGGGAGACACATTTCCTACCAGTTTCTTAAGACTTTTCATTTTTGAAAATAGATTTTTTTTCTTTTAATGCCATATTGGCAGATGTAATTTCCCAAAGATACATACATATATTGTATGCTGTTTTCCTAAATATTCTTTTTTGTATGTAATTTTTTCTCCTCTTGTACCAAAGTTTTGAACTGCAAACTCTTTATGTAAAAAATGTGGACCAAGCATCTCTCATGAAGGAATGGTAGGATATATGCATGTTTTATTAAAAACATTAGTAAAAATTGTACTTGCATGATGGAGTTGTTTATTAAAAGGTCTTCGTCCGGTATGTGTTAGATGCTGTTTTCAATCTTAAATGTCATTAAATTGCAATGTACAACTACTTTTTTTCTCCATGTTCACCAGTATGGTGCGACAAAAATAGCCATTTAATATCTGGGGAAATGGTTGAGTGTGGTTCTTGCTGTTCTTGGCCAAAGATCTCTTTAGTGAAGGAATGCTTTTTCCTGCTAGAGGAAAGAATTTCCCCAATGTATCAGAGTAGAAGTCCCATCCAACTTGGAAAGCTCAGTTTGTATTATCTAAATCAAACACGGGTCCGGTTTTGAGAACAAGTTGCAATTCTGATATTTTGATGTGGCTATGAAAATTACAAAGGAGAAAAAGGCTTATTTCAAAAGGATCATTTATTAAACATTTCCTTTACAAAGTACAATCACTGTTTTGTGATTTTTTTGGTTTCTATTATCTCACTGTATATACACAAAAGCTTGGGAAAACATGGAGAAATGCCTTGACTTTTTGCATGTTGTATACAGAGCTATCTTCAATAAATTTTGACAGAGACAATCAATGTTGCCTTATATATGTTTTAAAGGTCACATTAATTCCTGAATATTAAATTGAAGGCAGAAATATCTTCCAAATGATAAAACAAACTTTAAGAGCATGGCTACTTTGAAGTAAATGCATTACGACTAGTAGCTACAGTCATAAGCATGTAGGTCTTGATAACAAATTCTAAATATGAATGAGTAGGTGGCTTTTTATTTTCCTGAAAAGCATGATCCTATTATTATTATTTTAAAAAAACAAAGTTGCTGTTATAAGGCAAGAAAAACTGAGGAGCAAGGTTTAATAATTTCCTATTAGCAGCAGTTGATAGTAAATGCAACATAAGATTTGTTTTGTCTGTGGTATAAGGATTTTCCCTAGCAGACTCTTTTTGGATCGTTCATACTCTGAACACAACCATCTGCTTAATTATATATCTCTGGGACACAAAACAAAAGTAGAGAGACAAAAAAGCCGTTTATTCTCATGGGTGACTATTGTCGTCAGCTAATATGAATGCATTGCTAAAACGAGTGAAAAGTAAAAAGGCTGCAAAGTAGATATATACAGAGTTAAAATACATTTCTTTTCCACTAGACAGTGTTTCTGTTGGCACTGTGCTATTTTCCCCCTTCAGGATATTACATTTGTTGAGAGCAATGGCATTTTTTTCAGTGCAAGCGAAAGCAAAAAAAATACCTGCCCTGTTGTCATTGAAATGACAGAGAAATCTGGAATGTTCAAAACCAAGCTTGTCTTCCGCTTCTGCTCACAAGGCACATTTAAGGTATGGCACTTCCAGAATTTGTGTTAAAAAATAATTCTAGAACAGCAGAACCCATTAAGTCCAATATATATTGCTTGATAGCTGCTTGCATATGTTAAGGACATCCGTGTAAGGCTTGCTGTGTTAGCATGTCTTTCCTGAGAACTGAGTTGTGATTCCTTCATGCTTTATCATAAGTGTGCATGCTCGGAGCTGTGGTCGCTGTCATGGCTGTCATCATTTGCTAGAGAGTCCCCTGTGTGCTGAAGGCCAGCGGCACCGATTCCAGAAAGCTCTGAGGGGAGCAACGTGCCCTTTTTCACATTCACCAGTTCCTTTTCTCTGGCAGCAGCTCCTTGTTGCCCTCCTTTTACCCGCTTCCATTTCATCCGTCTGTTCTGGAACCAAACTTTTACCTTTGAATCAAAACAAAACAGAATAAATGAGGTGTGTGTAGAACATTGATAAGCAATCAAATAACTCATAATAATTCTATGATATACTTGGTCTGGGAGTTCTTCAGTTCAATAGGAAATGTTACCATCCACACAAGGTCTGGGAACGTATCTCCCACAAATATTGTGGTGGGTCTATATGCATATACACATAGGTAAAGGTAAAAGTTTCCCCTGACATTAAGCGTAGTCGTGTCCGACTCTGGGGGATGGTGCTCATCTCCATTTCTAAGCTGAAGAGCCAGCATTGTCCGTAGACACCTCCAAGTTCATGTGGCTGGCATGACTGCATGGAGTGGAATTACCTTCCCACAGAAGCTATTGATCTCACATGTCTGCATGTTTTCAAACTGTTAGGTTGGAAGAAGCTGGTGCTAACAGTGGGAGCTCACCCTGCGTGCTGGATTCAATCAGCAAGTTCAGCAGCTCAGCAGTTTAACCTGCTGCCCCACCAGCTGCCCCGACTTCCTCCTCATTTCTGAAGATAACTTTCCCAGAAGTATAGCGTTGACACAGAAATTTCAAATAAACCAATCTAAAGAAAATTTATGTGAATTTTTGTGGGTTTCTGCTTGTACTTTTATAATTGTGGTTAGCAGACGTTCCTTTCCTGTAACAGCTGTATATATTAACAAGCACTCTTAAAATGAATGTGATTTATTTTTAGAGTTGAATGAAAAAATTCCAACAAGCTACAGGGTCTTCTGCCAGTGTTAACCAATGTGCCATTATTAATATTAGTTCCACCAACATTCATTATGTGACATATTGGCTCACCACTGTTATAAAGTATTGGTTCATAGACATTTCATTTGAGCACTATTTTCTTTAATACGTATTATGCTTACTGTGGCCATGAAATATTCAAAATGTGGCTTTCTAAAATGAAAGCCACATAGAACCACTGACATTGTGGAAAGTTGAGGAAAACTGAAGTTTCAGAACTCTAAAAACAGATTACCAAATAATTTTCAAAACGTTATACATTCTAATGTATTATTAGTGTAATAGGTATGGAAGTATTAAAAGCAAAATGTTTCAATATTCATATATCTTTACATGGCCAAAAAATTAAGTTAAATACAGTGGGGTTCCCTTTTTAATCTTCTTTTTAAAAATGTTCTTGTTCTCTGAAATAATAAGCCATCTAAATTGACAACTTGTTATGTTTTCATGCTACCGTTGTTGCAAAACTGAACTTCAGTATTTAGAAATAGAGATATGGTGACTCTAGATTAGTTATAGCTTCTAAGCCTTACCCAACATGTCCTTTAAAAAAAAAAAGACAATTCATCAGAGCCAAAAAAGAGGCTAGTAAAATAAACCTAATATAAGGAGGAAAGTATTTATTGCTAGTTGCTCTGATGTTAGGAAATACTGTTACGCCATCTGTCAAAAGCTTTCACAAAAATAATGTCAAAGGGCTCATAATGTTTGTACTCCTACATGCAGTTCTTTGTGGTAAATTATATATGTCATTTTTCACAATGAATTTCCCCCAGTAAAATCATGGCATGATGCTAATGCCAAATACTATATTAAGCCAGAATGCTTGAGGAGATTATTCTGATACAAATCCAGTGAGCTTAGAAAGCTATGGATCGGTCTATCCCTCTATAAAATATTATCACATTTTTTCACATGAGGACTATTTTAGCCCACACACATGACTGCAAATAATATAACCTGCTTATATCTTATATGATTTTCATAAGTGCTGACAAGAGAATGTAGGTATGTGTCATTGGATACATCACTGAAAGACAAAAGGAAGATGGGCTAGGGAACTGAGAGTACCTGTAATGTCCTCCTAAATAGTACTGTGTTCACTTGCACAATGAGATGGTGTAAGATGTTTGCTGAGGACAACATGTTGTCACATTTTGCTTCAGAGGTGTACATTTTATACTCCAAAAACAAAAATGATTAAAACTGTCATGTGATGATACCTTATTATCAATATTGATAGTAATGATATGGCAATACATAAATAAAAACATTACCTTGTTCAAGCAAGTATCAGCGAAAACAGTGAACATGTGCAGAGCATAACACAGACACAAAAGAAACATATATAAAGGATCAATTCTTATCATAGCTGCATTTAGATACCCCACTATACTGTCCTGTAGGTGTTTTTTTAAAATGGGATGCCAAATGTACCTTGCTCTTTTTGTGACACACAAAAGTGAGAACTAAGATCATCATACACATTGGAATTTCCTGATGAACATTTTTGATGCATTAATTGAAAAATAAATTGTCCACTTGGGGGTGTTCTCACAACTGTGCAGTGAGAGAAGCTTTCTGTTGGAAGTATGTCTTTGTGCAACTGAAAGGATGATCGCAAGAGGGGCTTGCCAACAGTACTGTGAGCCATCAGTCAGGATCTCCCCCATGTATCTTGTCTGGAAATATGACCATGAGAGGACCAAATAGACCAGTGCTTCACATGTGCCTTTGAGCTGAAGGCTCGTGTTAAAATTGAATTTGGCCATCACTACAATAATTTCAGGTTTGCGGAAAGTTGCACCCTTTTATGAAGGATGCTCATGTATTCAGTTTAGGAAGTTTAAAAATGATTCAGAGATGAGAACATTTCTACTCGTATGTTTGTTGTGTCCCCTCCCCCAGTAGTTGTATAAAAAGGGTAATAAATAAATACTAGATTGATGGATTCAAAGATAGATAAATAAATAGATAGATAGACAGAGATATTATATATCTGAAATGCATTCACAAGATGAGGGACAAAAAGGAACAGTATGTGGAAAGCAGGCTAGTGTGAGGACAGTAAAATAAAGCAAAGGATAATAATTTATCTAAACATGTAAAATATTCACTTTTAGCTGCAATGTGGACTGGTACTATACTGTTTGGGCTATATTGTTTGGGCCATTGACCTGTGGGGTTCTGCAAGGTTCTATTCCTTCCCTTATGCTTTTCAATACCTACATGAAACTGCTGGGAGAGATCATCCGGAGTTTTGGAGTTGAATGCCACCTCTATTCAGATGACACACCGTTCTACTACTCTTTCCCATCCCACTCCAAGGAAGCTCCCTGGATCCTGGGCCAGTGCCTGGCATCTGTGATGGACTGGATGAAGGCCAACAAACTGAGACTTAAGCCAGTTGCGATGCCGATCAGGGCATACGATGGCAACTTGTGCTCGATGGGGTTACACTCCCCCTGAGAACACAGATCCACAGTCTGGGGGTCCTCCTGAACTCAACACTGATGCTTGAAGTTCAGGTGTTGGTGGTGGCTAGGAGGACCCTCGCTCAGTTAAAACTGGTGCACCAGCTACGACTATACCTTGAAAAGCCTGACTTGGCCATAGTGGTCCACAACTGAGTTACATCCAGGATGAACTACTGCAAAGCACTCAACATGGGGCTGGCTTTGAAAGTGGCTCAGAAACTGCAGTTGGTACAAAGGTCAGCATCCAGATTACTAACTGGAGCTAGCTATAGGGAGTATACCATGCTCCTATTAAAGCGGCGCCACTGGTTGCCGATTCAAAGTGCAGGTTATTTCCTATAGAGCCCTATTTGCTTCCAGCCCAACCAGTATTCTAGACTGCATCTCCTTCTATGGGCTCTAAGATCTGCCAGGGAGGCCCTCCTCTCAGTCTCACCTCTGTCCCAAGTACAGCTGGTGGGAACAAGAGAGGGGGCCTTCTCATTGGTGGCTCCCCAGCTCTTGAATGCCCTCTCTAGAGAGATTAGGTTAGCTCCCCACTCTCCAAACTTTTCGGTCTAGTCTAAAAACTTGGCTTTTTAGACAGGCCTTTGACCTTGAGTAGATTTTAATGGTTAGATGTGAGGACTTAGTCTCTGCTCCACTCTGGCATTTGGATTGTTAATTTTAAGGTTGCCAGTTTTATCCACAGACATTGCTGCATTTTATGAATGTTATGATTTAAAAATAATATTATGTGTCATTTTATGTATGTTTGCTATTGTAAATTTATGTTGTTATAGTCTATATGTTTACGTATTGTTTATTTTATGTTTGGCACTTTGGCTTCTGTGAGCCGCCCTGAGTCTCTTCAGGGAGATTGTGGCAGGGTATAAATAAAGTTTATTATATTTATATTTATTATATCTATAATTCAAGACAAGCACAGTGTTGCTAAAGATAGGATAGCTGAATTCACATTTACGAGGAGAAAAAAAGTAGTAATGCAAAGAACCTCTATGGATATAAGTATATGGAAATGGATAGCAGTCTAGACAACCCTTTAGGAAAGATACTTTATGGCAATATCTTACTGAACTGGAAAAAAATCTGGGCTGGTCAAGACTAATAATGCTCTTACTTTCTTTCTGCCTATAAGAGTACAAGTGTGTTTGAGTAATTGTATTTTTATTTTAGATTGCAGAGGAATGGCAAGGAGAATGGAAAAATAGATAAAACTGCTTGAAACATAATAGGCCCAAATTGCAAAGGTCATATGTAAAAAGAGGTGTAAATTGGCAAGTGCCTGTGAGTCTAAGGAAGTGAGTAAGCCTGAGGGAGTCTAAGTCAATCTGAGGGAATCTACATTGGCTAGCACATACACGCAAGGCCTGGAAGAAAGCATAAGTTAAACCATCTGAGCCTCTCTCTAAATTTAGACGCCTTCTGGCAAAATTAAGAAGTGGTCTGTGTAAGATGAGACATCCTTCGTTTCTGTAAGTGCTTGTCTTCATTTTTATTTCTATGAGACTTCGGCTGTGAAAAAGAAATGCCCATTATTCATGGAGGACAAATGCAGGCTAAGAACAAAATGTGCTAGTAGAAAGAGCTTCAGTGACTTGGTCATCTGATTAATTATAAAATGTCTAAAACATAGTGAGGGCCAGGGAAAAGCCATAGATCAATGGCTGAGAACATTAATAAAGTAGCAGGGGTCAACTTCCGAAACTCCGACAATCAAGCCAGCAAAGACTAGCTCAGCCTAATAACCCAGACTTT